TCAGCAGCTTATCTAAGTGAACTTCAAATAATTACCATAAGAAGGACCACTCACCCCAACCTCTGCACATGCTGAATGATACCCAACGTGGGGCATTTCTGAATCATGAGCTGACTTGGCAGTGACCTGAATTTTTTTTTTTTTAACATTTATCAATGTCTTCAGAGGAAAGAAACTTCAAAAAATGTTTTGCAAGTGGATGACTGCCACAATCAGTGGATCTGGCTGGGTTAAGTTTCTTCATGGCAAATGTTGTGGTGCTGTGTTCTACACGTGTGATCAAAACAATGCTGATAACACACTCACGATTTAGCTATTACTGAACAGTCTTTGTGTAGCATCAAGGCCTGCCCTGTTTCTCACTCTGCCCTCCCAGTGAACGGAGTGGTGGGGTGTGCAAGAGGTTGGGAGGGAATACAACAAGGCAGATAACCCTCAGCTAACCAGAGATACTCTGTTCTATAAAGAGTCACTGTTGTGGTTTGACCCCAACTGACAACTAAGCATCACACAGCCACTTGGCTCACTCACACCCACCCACCCCACACCCTGGTGGGACAGAGAAGAGAATCAGAAGGGTAAAAGGGAGAAAACTCATGGGTTGAGATAAAGACAGTTTAATGGGTAAAGCAAAAGCCACACAGGTAAGCAAAGCAAAACAAGGAATTCATAGCGGCAGGCTGTTGTTCAGCCACCTCCAGGAAAGCAGGGCTCCATCACACATAATGGTGACTTGGGAAGACAAAATGCCAACACTCCAAACTTCACCCCCCTTCCTTCTTCCCCCAGCTCCTACTGCTGAGCGTGACGTCACATGATGTCAATGTCCCTTTGGTCAGTTGGGGTCAGCTGTCCCAGCTGTGTCCCCTCCTAACTTCTTGTGCACCCTCAGCCTACTCGTTGGTGGGGTGAGAAGCAGAAAACATCTTGACTCTGTGTAAGCACTGCTCAGCAGCAACAGCTAAAACACCCATGTTTTAGCACAGATCCAAAACGTAGCCCCATACTAGCTGCCATGAATAAAATTAACTCTGTCCCAGCCAAAACCAGCACAGTCATGCTCAGCAATAAGAAAGGGAAAGGAGGAAGGTTAGAGGGGTTAGCCATCTTTTGCTTGGGAACTAGCTGGGCATCAGTCTACCTATGGGAGGAGGTGGTGAACAATTGCCTTTAAATCTCTTGTTTTGCTTTCTTTCTCTATTTCCCTTCATATTTAAAAAAAAAAAAATCTCAACCCTTACATTTTCTTACTTTTACTCCTCTTTTTCTCTTCCCTCATCTGAAGTGGGGGGCAGCAGGGAAGGGCAGTGAGCTGTGCTGGCGCTTAGCTACTTACCTGAGGAAACTCACAACAGGTCATTAAAATTAAGAATTCTGGGTTTTTTTTTTTCTTCCTCCAAATGCCACATCTAAAAGTCTGAAATCAGTATCTTAATGTTTAAACAAAATTTTAAAATTATTTTTTCTTACCTTGTACTTGTCACCTTCATTTTTAGACTGTAAAAAGTGCTTACTCATCTCTTGGGTTAAAACAGACACAGGATTATCTACCTGTCAAAATAAATTACTTTCATTTTAAGTAAAAAAGTTCTCATGTACCTGCACACCCATGAAAGTCAGCAAACCATTTCCCTGTTCCATGCTCAGTAACTCAGTAATAAGATGAGAAGCAGATCCAAAAATTAAGATTTCTACTCCTCTCACCTCTTGTTTTAAAAACATCCCCCTCCCCCCAAAAAAGGAATAATTAAAACACCCAGCTCCATCAAGTACAAATTAGAACCACAACAAGCTCAACTAAGGAACTGTTTCCAGACACCAGGACAGTGCCTGTTTTTTCCCCATTTAACAAGATCAGCATTAGAAATTTTGTCCAATGCTGTTTAAAGTCTCATTGTTTAACTGATCCAAGTATTGCAATAAATGCAATGAATTTCCTCATATATTCTTACAAAAGTTTCCACAAAATAAGATCAATACATACGAATGCACAGGCTGAACACACTGAGTATTTTGAACTTCATGTGCACCACCTGATCTTTCCTTAATCATGTAAGCAGCAAAATCACACTCAAATTTCTGCAATAGCAGAATCCGAAATAATGAGCAAGAAAAAAAGCAGCTCCAGGTATGAAAGAAACCTGCATATGCTAAGACTTTCATTAACAGGCTACACAGCTCATAGCCCACAGATGAGAGCAAATACTTATCTGTCTGGGACAGAATCTTAATCTGCATTATATGAGGTATAAATTTCAATTTTCTTTTGCTACTACACTTGATCTTGCAAGAACACAGAAGAGGTAAAACTCTCTCATTTAACTAAATGGAAAACTACTTTTTATTAAGAATTATCACATGTTGATCCTTAAACTGCACAGAATTTAAACACTATAACAATTACCTGTATATTAAAGTGATCCAGTATTCCTAAAAGTTCTTCCTTCTTTGAAGAAATTAAGGTCCCTAATGGTGAAAAAAATAAAGAAAAATTACCATTAGGTCCAAAGTAAAGAGATATAAAATGCCCAAGCCTTTTGTTCAACCTAGTCATTTTTAGAAAATGAAAAAAAAAAAAAAAGAGATTTTAGTGTTTTTTAACACAGATTTAGTCCTAAATGAGAAACACTGGTTTTTTAATCTTTGATACATTTGCATTTGCACAGAAAGACAATTAAATCCTTCCTTGCCTCACAAACCCTCAGTGACAGAATTTAGGTAAATCAGCAAATTCAACTCAAAAAACCCGTAAAAACTATCTTTAGCCTCATCACACAAGCAGATTTTCATACAGACAAATACTGTGTGACCTCACATCACACAGAACTTGACACAACTGCTACTGACATGCTAAAATATTCTTAGTCTGTAGTAAAAAAAAAAAAAAATATGGACATCATCCTTCAATCATGACTAAAATGAGAAACATCATCCTTTACTAATATCATGGCATTTAAAGCAACAGAAACATTTCAAGAGCTTCTAAAACTGAGAACAAAACAAACTACCACCAACCAGATTTGCTTTTCAGTCTATAGCTTCTGCTTCCATCCAGATTAATGTGCTGATTTACAATAATAGAACCACCGTACACATCCGGTTTATATGCATCTCTACCTTGGTTTCGCAGTGTTATGGAAATATCTGCAGAACTATAAAATTAAAATAATAAAAAAAGACAACCTAAATTAGTTCCAAATTGAAAAAACAATCAGAACATCAAAAACTGTTGCATCTTGTACAGGTTACAACTGGAAGTCCGTCGTAATACTAATCAGAACAAGATATATTTATGGGTTTTGAGCCAAAACACCAGACACAAGGCCAGAAAGGTTGCCATACACTGACCTGTTTGCACCTTCTATGCTTCAGATCATGAGCCAAAAGCTAAGACTCGTGAGAGCAGATTTTCCCCACTTTCCCTTCCCATCTAAGTGCCCCCATCTTTAGGTTGCAGAATTAAGTTGCTTTTTGGTTGTTCTCCTGTCCTCAAACTGGCTTCTGTAGAAAACAGTTGCTTAGCTTCTACAGCCATCCCTAAACAAAGTAATCTAGAGCAGAATGCTTAAGGTATTTTTCTAGACAAGATGACATCTGGTGTCAGGTCTGAATTCAGACTTTCAGTCTCTCAAGTGAATGCTGGAACATTAAGTTATTGTTACTATGTTATAACACAGCCAGCTGCTGTCAACAATTTTACTCCAAGGACCTCTGAAAGGAAAAGCCTGGGGCTGAATTACAGCTGTAAACAGCTGTACAGCTGAGTTACAGTTAAATGTAAACTTTTAAAACATCTTCTCCTATCTTTTTATTGAATCCCTTAACATGTTATCCCCGTTCTTGCAGCAGGCATGAGTCCACTTCCTTCATCTTTAATAATCCACCTGTGTGTCAAGGTCTTTCTACTGTATATTCATTCATGTCACCAGAAAGACAGAAAAAGAATTAACCTCACTGCTCACAAAACAGTAAGTATTTTCCTATGATTTTTTTTTTCCTAATGAACTCAATTCTTCTGCAGGATAATCCAGTACATCATGGAAGTAATACACAAGAGCTGGGCAATATGCAGGACACTATGTTAGCTAGTTCAGATAATGGTATACTAGTTGCAAATTACTGATAAAAATTCTAATGTGTTTTCATCTATCGTTTTGGAGGTTTTTGCTTAAGTATGATCTCTTACACGTTATGCCTTTTATTCAAATCTAGTAGATCCAATAAGAGAACAGAGAAAACAAAGGTGAACAGAAAACTGATCAGCTATCCCGAATCACAGTCACTAAACAACATGCTTGACCTTAAAACTTGAGAAGTTTTACTTACGTCTCTCCATCTCGTACGAACATTTTTAATGAGGAGCCTCGATTAGTTGCAGTGGCTTTTCCGCCCAGTCCAACAATAAGAGCCGTTAACACAGAACTTTTTCCACCTGTAACAGAAGCATAGAGGTTTTGTAAAATAAGTTCTTGTAACTCTTTATCCCGTTTACCCACATTACAGATTTTTGTTTGATTGTTTACATATTCATACACTTAAAGTCCAAATTCTGTCTTTATTGAACAGACATAAAATAGCAATAATTTTAGAAAAACATCCACTGCTTGCAAGGTTCTCCCACCCACATGCAAAAAACCAAAACCAACAAAACAAACCAACAAAACCACACCTGCTGAGCCAAACTTCTGTTCTGTGTGGCCAGCAGGTTGAGGGAGGTGATTCTCCCCCTCTACTCTGCTCTTGTGAGACCCCACCTGGAGTGCTGCATCCAGCTGTGGAGCCCTCAATATCAGAAGGATATAGACCGGTTGGAGTGAGTCCAGAGGAGGCCACGAAGATGATCAGAGGGCTGAAGCACCTCTCTTGTGATGAAAGGCTGAGAGAGTTGGGCTCGTTCAGCCTGGAGAAGAGCAGGTTCTGGGGAGACCTTATTGCAGCCTTCCAGTACCTGAAGGGGGCCTACAAGGAAGCTGGGAGGGGACTTTTTACAAGGGCCTGTAGTGACAGGACAAGGGGTAAAGGGTTTAAATTGAAAGCAGGGAGGTTTAGATCACATATCAGGAAGACATTCTTCACAGAGAGGGTGCTGAAGCACTGGAACAGGTTGCCCAGAGATGTTGTGGATGCCCCATCCCTGGAAGTGTTCAAGGCCAGGCTGGATGAGGCTTTGAGCAACCTGGTCTAGTGGAAGGTGTCCCTGCCCATGGCAGGGGGGTTGGGACTAGATGAGGGGCCCTTCCAACCCAAACCATTCTGTGATTCTGTGATCTATTTAGCAACTGACATTCAACAAGATACCCCGTCTCAGGAGGAAAGAATCTCCCCTTCCTTACAAGCATACAAAAAACACATATACATCAAAAGAAATCAAACACATATTACCTTTTATGTATCTGAAACATTTTAAGCACTCTTTCAAAATTTATGCTTAATCTTTGAAATTCTCTCTCCAAAAGAAGTAAACTTGCATAGATATCACTTCTTTCTATAACAGTTGCTACATGACATATACTCGGACAATTACTGTGTATTTAATAATTAACATACATTTAGTTTAAATATAAATTTAAGTATGATTTGGCTATGAAAAAAATCTAAATTCACATTATCTTTTGACAATCTCCAAATTTAAGACCTAAGGTTCACCAGCCTTGAACTACTGGGGTAAACCTGTGTGTTCCCAAACCCAAAACTGAATCCATCTCCATTCCCAAAAGATGGCTAGCAATCCTTTTTCAAATAAAAATTACATCTTCTAAATTAAGAAAACTGTTCTTTGACAAAGGAATGATACAAGTAATACTTACTTCCATTGTTTCCAACAACAAAATTGACATTTGATCCAAACTGAAAAGGTCCCAACATCGAATGGCACATAAAGTTCTTCAGCTGGATACTTTCAATTATCCCAACTTCCCCTGCAGTCTAAAGAATTAGCAATTAAACCTGGTGTTATGTATGCATTTTAATGAGAATTCAAACAGCAGCATGTTATAAAACATCAATGGTTACAAGCTACAAGGAAATCAGAAGGGTTTCATGACATTATGAAGAGTTGCTTGCTACACAGCAGTTACATCATAAGAGGAAAAGTTACCAAAGTTGATTACCCACCCATAGTAACTTTCACTTCTCATAACTTATAATTAATACAAAAGATTAAGATCTTAGATTGTATACAGTTATCAGAGCAGTAATAGAAAGCATGATAGAAAGACTCTTTTGTTACTTAAATACTACTATAAATGAGAATTCTCAGCACAGCTTAGAATGAGGAGAATGAAATTAGATCAAGGAGGAAATTAATCTAGAAATGGGACCGCCCACTGTTCAACTGGTGAAGTATGGTTTTGACAGGAAATTTTAGTTAGTCAGTGCTTCAGAAAAGCAATGCTTTCTAAGAAAGCAAAGTCCTCAGGAAAAAATAAACAAACCGATGACGCAGAATAGTTCAAGAAAATAAGTGAGGTATAATGCTCCTGTGTACAAGAAAAAAATCTACCACTGTGTCTTATAATACACAAGACAGTATCTGCAATCTCAGATATTGTTTTATTAAAAATCCTCCATCAAATCAGAATTAAACTAAAGAAAAGCAGAAAAAAGGGTATTCCTGTTTCCATGTTTTGTATCCATCAAAATACACATTTCAAACATGAGAATTTTCAGTAGTTTGAAAGTGTCAGCCATGCAAAACAAACAAGTATTTGGTGGTGCTTCTAGGAAATAATTTGTTTTCCAAATATTTTCTCTGCTTTTACCACAACCATAAACCAAATATACCATACTTCTACTAAACAAAATGTGTTTCCCCTATTTGGTTGTTGGACAACTTCAGTAGTACTCATTCTATAAAACCAGAATGCTGTTATTTCATGAACGACTGCTGCAACTACTTGACTCAAAAGACACAAGGTGAGGCTGAACTCATGCAGGAGTCCTCATCACTGCCATTACCTCTAGCCTCTTTCATATTGGTTCCACTGAAGCCTACAGTCAAGACATTTATTTCAAGGTCAAACAAACACAAAACTTTTTTTACATCAACTTTTTTTCTTTTATCTTCTCCCCCCAAGTTTTTAAACACTTACAGACAGTGAAGAGACATTACTATCAGCTGGTGACTGCAACTTTTCCTCTTCGTTAGACTCATCGCTATGTTCATCTGTGTATTCCTGTCTCTGTCTTTTGCGGGACCCAGGCCTTGCAATACTTTCTTCCTTTCTCTTACCCATGAGTACTGCAAAATGAAAGTAATAAAAGAATGGAGGTTTCAGCTAGATGAAAAAAACACACCTAAAGAATACAGCACAGATATACCAATTTATTTACTTTGGTGAAAGAAATAAGATCATAGCAAACGTTGCAACAAACTAATAGTTTTTTCAGAACTGAAATCTCAGTGAATTTGCTGAGATTGATAGAATTGCTTTTGGTTAGTAATGGAGTCAAAGATTAAGTTGTTAAAAGTATGTAACTGTCATAGTATGATCAGCAGCATCAACACAGGTCTGACCGAACTGCAGAGCCAAAACCAAAATGTATTAATTAAATGTGGTTGACAAATGCCCAGGAAATTAATATGCAGAACACATCAAAGTACAACAGTGGAAAATTCAGATTCATAGAACTGTTCCTTGTGCTATTTGTTGCCGACAGCCACCCTGCTTTATGTGAGGCAATGTAATCACAGTAAACAAAATGCTGTTATTTACTAGTAAAAGATAACAATTATAGAGAGAACATTCATATATATTTCCTCTACAAATGAATAGATAACATAGACTTCCTGCCCTAACGTGGTCAGAAACCAATCTTTCAACAGTAACAATGTCTACTGAAGTCACATAAAACTGAAACAACAGGCATCAAGATTACCCAAAAATCTTGTGTTTTCTGTAACTGCAACCTTAGGGTATGGTTTTTATTCCCTCAAAAGTACAGATTACGTTCTTCATACCTACAGTCCCAAAGCACTACACAAAACACGGAAGTTCGTATACTTTCGCCCAAAGCAGAAGCAAGGTCCTGTTTACAGAAAGGCAATTCACTATCTTTTTATTCGTCAGTAGTTAAGTCACCTACTGGTAAGTGTCCAAAACAGGCTAAAACTAACATCAGCTGCATAGTTTTCTGATGTCTGAAAGTTTCTGAAATGGAGTACGTACTTCTGCTCAGAGAATTTTGTTTACTAAAATTTATTCCAGAGCTCCTTCCTCGGAAGGATGGCAAACAATAGCATCTCACTAGTTCAATCAAAATTCAGAGGCATTAACTGTTATTAATATCCACTGCTGAAGACAGATCACTGCATGACACATGGCCTAAGAGTAGGCTGAGTTTATTTATTAAAATAAATATGGGGATTTTTTACATGGGGTGGGTTACAGGAAAGGAAAGAATGACCAGCATTAGAGAACACACATGTCCAAAGGTGATACCACATGTCATGATTTGAGACTAAATTGACTGTGCAGCGATGAAGCACACTGGGAGCTTGGACACCAGAACACCTCAAGACACAGATACATTTAACGATAATGAGTGAGCACTCCCTTGTCCCACAGGACAGATGGGATGATGCAGGAGAGCAGGTCAGCCTGACAGTTCCTAACATGTTCTGTGTCCTGCAAGGGAGATGTCCTGGTCCATGAGAAAACTGAACAGATCAGCACACCGGTTCCAGCTGCGCAATGCACACCCTCAGAGTCTTATGGGGTACCCTCGTTAAAGCCTACAGGCTCATCCCCAAGGTTCTCTGTGGATCTTGCTCCACATTCTCTCTTTAAATGTTTTAACGTAAATAGGAGAATCTACAGAGAACTGAATGAAATAAAGACTGTAAAATTACAACTTCAGTCATAAGAACTAGTGCTGCAATGGAAAGGAGTAGTTTTTCCTCCCTCTGCCTCTTCCATTTGTGTCTCACCCTCCTCATTTCAAGAAGCTCTTTGCACAGCACAACAATAAACCACCTCACGGCGCTGATTCTACTGCAAGAATAGATTTGCAGTAGAATTTTCTTTATTGCAAGAAAAAACATTTTTTTTTTTTTTTAAATGAGATGAGTTCCCCAACAATTTCACCATGCAGATGTGCATGTTTGGGTCACCGTGGAGAAACACAAGTGCTTCTTTTACTTGTGCCAGCTTCAAGTTCCAGTGAAACTACAGCCTGATTTCAACTGACAAAAGGTCAGATAGCTGATACCACCAAGCATCACACAGCAGGATTTATTATGCGAAACACCACAGACATTAGAATTCGTTACATCATTACAAAGAATATTTAACTTCTATTCTAGATATTGTCTGTATTATAAAATACAGCGTCTAATAATTCCCTCACTAATTTGCTTTGACACAGCACCTAAATTATAAAAAGCAATATGCATCTCTTTCCATTAAGTGCAATGAACGAAACTCAAAGCAATTGCAGAAACGCAATAAACTTTCCATCTGACATTCTTGCAGTAATATTGTACGGCCAGGATTTCAGATCAAACACTGGATTAATATTATGTCCATTAAGTACTTACAGGGAATCTGTCATTTCCATTTCATGTTACGCAGTTTAATACCATACACACAGAAACCAAGGAGCAAGTACACTTTGTGATTCAGCTACATACCTTTTGCTCTGCTATTTTTGATTTCCTACATAAACATGTCTTTATGCTTAAATTACTCAGATCAGGAAAGAGTCACTTGTATGCTCTCAGAATTTATCCATCACCCAAATATGAAGACAATTCATTCAATCTGCTGTTCCATTGAAAGCTGTCTCTAGAAAGAAGGGAAAACACAAGTGTTGTAATTATAGATGTCCAAACTAAAGATCAGGGCTACAAGTTCCATCACTATACCATGTGGACATTTAAGAAAAACAGAGTATGAGTGGAAAACAGAATAAAATAACCTAGAAGAAAGCTCATTCATGTAATCTAAACATGACGAAGGCAAAAGACAGTACAGCCTGCATCCCAGAACTCTTGAAGAGCTAGTACTGCAAACAAAAGTGAACTGCAACTACAAGAAAATTTTACTGAAGTAGCCTCAAATTATTATGACAAATACCAGTGCATGTAATACCTACACTGAGTGCAAAAAAAAAAAAAAAGCCAACCCAGGAAGAAAGAGAAACTGACTGCACCACCAAGGAATCACAGCGATGCCCCCACCAACG